CTTCTTAGTTATTATATCAATTGTGTCACCCCTTCCCCTATTACTCAACAGTAGACTAGTTTACAGTTTTGGTAAGTATAAATACGACCATACAGCCTGTGAAGATGATTTAGTCGATAGAGAAACATTTCTTCGCTGAATCGTCTTTTATTTTCTTCAATACTCTTTCCGATAAGGTCTTTTTCAGATTCTAAAGTCATTTTTTTTATTTTCCTTCACGTTTCCCACTGGAACATAGGGCTTCAAGCTAGTGGCTTGAAGTTTCTGCATCAGTGTTTATTTTTACAGGATGGGGTTGCTAGCCTCATGCCCAACCTTTCCTCTTTACCAGCTTTATTTATTACTGGCTTAGCGAGGTAAAGGAGTGCGTCCGTGGCCAGGGATCGAACCCCGGACCATGCGCATGGTCGGCGAGCGTCCTAAACGCTATGCCACCGACGCACCCCTGTGAGTGATAATATGCATTATAAATACAACATTAAACTGAAAATCGCTTCTTCAAGAATTGAAAACATTTATTCCCTGATATGAAATTAAAACAAGCAACAAAGGTTTATGAAGCAGGATTTAATAAATCCATCAAATTTCGGTAGAACTCGTCATCTGAATACTCCACATACACAGATATATACTTTTCAAGTTACATTGAGAGATATAGGACTGAATACTTTACATACACAGATATATATATTATTGAAATTAAATTGGGAGATGTAAGACTGATACGTAAATAAACTACATTGAATTAGTCATGCAGAAAGACAGGTGAGAATGTTTTCCAGGTCATGTTTTCCTTGACACCACTAAGCGAGTGCTTCAACAATCTGGGAAAGACCAGTCACCAATCGTCGACACTTCAAACTGCGTTTGTTGAAGCAAATACGCATAGGTGGTACAGAAGGGCGATTGTCTACTCGCATGATGGAGCATTTGCCAAAATGGTTGAAAACAGCTGAGTGCAAAGTGCCAAAAACCTCAATAACAAAACATCTTGTGGACTATGGACATGATATCGACGCTGTCAAGTCATTCACTATTGTCAGCAGACAAAGAAACAGGAAGATGCTTGCAAATGCAGAGGCTTGTGCAATTCGAGTTTATAAACCAGGCCCTTTTCTTGCATATTGTTTGCAGCACAACTGGTTCCTGGTTGATTGGTTCGCTCCCAGAGATCCCTCAATGTTGCTGATCGTTTCTGGCCAGTCATGTGATCTTGAGTAGGATTGGGCGAAGACAGGTGTTGATGAAGGTGTGTAGTTTGTTCGACGTGGTCTTCGTGACGTGGTGCGGAGTGGCGCCAGGTCTATATTTCGCACAGTAGGACTGACTTCACACTGGAGTTTAAAATCCGGATTTTACTTTTCATGCTGAGGAGTGTTGTTGACTTCCACACAGATTTGAGAATAATGGAAGCTTGCTTTACTTTCGAGATCCTCATTTTAATATTCTCATCAATTCCGGTGCCTGTAGTTGAAACGATGCTTCCCAGATAGGTAGGTAGGTAGGTAGGTGCAGGAGGTTGCTTCTTTCAGATTCCTCTCATTTCTACTGATTGTTGTCTTATGTTTTGGTTGCCATTGCTGTTTTGCTGTTGGTCAGGAATCTTCATCATCACCTCTGTTTTCTGTATGTTCACTTGAACGAAGTCCTATCTTCTCTGGATGCTTCTTCTGCTAACTTGTTACTTAAAAGCTGTATATCTTTCATTATCAAAGCATAAGTCAGAACGAATTTTGTAGATTTGGAAATCATTACCGTTTGTATAATTCTGTTTGACTGAAGGGCAATATATTGTTTTTGTAATCTAGTGATCTTGCTTTCGATTCCCTTTTATAATATGCATTGGATTTCGATGAATGACCCGAGCATTTGTGGCGTACTTCTCGATTTTCAATCCTTTCTTTATCTTATGTTCGTCAGGTATGAGATTTGCTTGAAAATAATCACTAATTTTGTTTCACTGTCTACGTTGTACACAGTACCGATAACCTACTTGACTAATTTGACTGGTGTACATTCACGTGTTAATCAAGAAAAAGTGGTGCCACTATTTCGAAGTATTAGATAAATTTAAAGAGAATTCAGAGAAAACGGATGATTCTATTTTCAAAATTTCTAATATTTATCAGTTCAAGTTCAAATATTTCTTTGAATATATACACAACACGTTTTTCTAACTCAAGTTTGAACGCATACTCTGAAAGTCAGACTCTTTACTGAGTACGTCACAACTCAAGGTCTTATACACTAAACTAATAACTTAGATTCATTACATTATGCTTTGATCTTGTGGTAAGTGTGGTCAAGGCTGAAAGCATTAATCAATCGATATTGAAATAGTGAATTATTTTTATTTATGACAAAATTTAGTTACTCATTAGTAGTATAAATCAACAGAGTGTGTTGTTTATGACTGTTGTATTATTCATTCTCTGTGTTCGCAATGGAAAGAAGGGCATCAGAGGCGTCTCTGCACCGAACTAGGGTCCTCCGTCATCACTTTCTATTGGCTGCATGCCTATCTGCAAGATAACATGTCGTACACCCATAGCATTACCCTTCGGATGCCCAACTCTTGGCTTCCTGTCGAAGATTCTGTCGAGGTCAGTAGTGTGATGTCACTGGAAGACCATCACAGTATGTAGGCTCTAGTACATAATCACTCTGAAAAATGTGATCTAATCTGAACACTGGCCAAATCAATCATATGTGAATTTCATTAAATAACACAGCCTGGTGAGTAGCTCCCGGATGAATTTCCTGGAGATTTCGTGGGAAGTTGTAACCGGTTGAATTCATCACATCATGCATGAGAAATGATTCTGACTGGTGGCATTAGATGTCAGTCTTGTCGATAAGAGAATCGATTAAGGCAACTGATTCGAGGGAATGCTAAGTTCCCGTCTTCGTAGCTTAACTTCCATTATTTAAATCCTTGAGATTGTTAAAGATATGTATTGCAGTATGATTCTCAACTAAAATTAACCAACCATCCTGTTACTGTCTGTTTACAAAGTCTTTCGAAAGGATACTGGCTCATTGGCGAAAGGTACAAAGAAGTACATAGATTTGTTCGTTAGAATTTTCTTGGCTTACTAAGGTAACAAATTTGAGTGCATCAACACTGGCTAACAACCGGGTGACAGTACAGTCTATATAGAAGCGAACCAGTGGGTGAAATGAGCAGCTTGAGACCTATTTTGACCAGCAAGAACTTATTTTAGCACCTATTTATTTGCCTCCAACCATCTAATACCAAAAATTCACAGTGCACCGTAATGGCGAGCCACCTAGCATGGTGGCCACATTGCAAACATGACTGATAGAATTCAGTCTGCACCGAAGATAGGACTAGACACATTACACTAGTTACTGACTAGTGTTCAATCAAAAATATCCAATACAGTCCTACAGGAGGTCAGTCACGAGCCTGAATAGCTCAGTATTAACGTCTCTGACTGCAGCACTGGATGACGCGGGTTCGAATCTCAGAAGAGACATCGGTTCCTTCAAGGTTGCAGATACGCCTTGCTGATGAGTGCCAACTAGCACGAAAGCGTCGATGGCACAGTGGTTAGGACTCTCGCTAACCATGCACATGGTCCGGGGTTCGATCCCCTGCCGGCGCACACTCGATATCTATGGTCGGCCTGAATTTGGGCTACCGATATACATGCTGAAAATCCCATACCTGTACTGAAAATACGGTGTGGAATCAAGCTGTAAATCAAAAAAGAACCTAGGTCCAAGGCTTCCTGCCGATCGCCTCCAACCATCTAATACCAACAATTCACCTATTTATCAATTTTACAGTGTTACCCTACAATGAATGATGGTTAGTTGATCAAGGTAAGCCAAGCGGTTAACGCTTCTGCAGTGAAAACATTCAATGCTAGTTTCAATGACTAGCATAAGCAGTTCTCTTTAGCTTAACTCATTTGGAAGTGTGAGCTGTAGATGTCGTTGAAGCTTCGCAACTAAACCATCTATTTCAGAGTATACAGCTACAGAAAAATCACCCATCTAAGGTGAAGTTCTCTAATTATATCTCAGTAATAGTTTTAACTCACTACTGCGAATTAACACCTTGTGATTTGAAAGTATTTATTGACAACACAATATCAGCAAGATGTTAACTTGTTGTCATTGATAAACAGTGGAATGAAATGTCTTGAGATTTCGGAATCCTGAAGATTAGTGAACTATAGCGAAATCGATTTCCTGAGGTTTTAATGAAAAATCATTACTGGTAGGGTCTACAAATTTGGAATAGAGGACAGATAATCTCTGATTACATCGGTTGCCAGTGACACCATAATATGGACCAAGAGAAGTGCAAATCCCTGTACTATTTGATTCAGGATCAATTGTTTACTTCACAATCAATCTAAAAGTCCTGTGTTTAATCCCGCGTAAAGCTACTAACGGCCATTTCTGGAGCCGGAAAATAGAATAAAAGAATAGTGTTGGATGGTTGGAAGCAATAGGCAGGAAACTTTAGACCTAGGTCTATCGCTTGTTGGCATTTGTTAGTAAGGCACATTCTCAACCTTGATGGAACTGCTATTCAAACGCGCGGTACCCATTTTTGTCATAAAGCTTACCATTGAGCTATTCCATGTCACAGTCAAAACATTAATACTCTCCGATTCTCTATGACTTCAAATGCTTACCTTATATGAATTCTTTCTTTTTTTATTCCTTCACGTTTCCAGTGGAACATAGAGCTTCAAACTAGAGCCTTCAAGTTTCGGCAGCAGTGGTGATTATTTATACGGGATAGGGTTGCTAGCATCATACCCAACCTTCCCTCTTTACCAGTCTTATTACTGGCTTAAGGAGGTAAAGGAATGCTTTTGTAGCCGTGGATCGAAACCCAGACTACATGAGGCGTGGTTGGCGAGCATTCTACTGCTGTGTCACAAACGCACATGAATTATTTCAGTATTTACAACGTCCGGCCATTGGACACTAGTTGAGCAATACAGTTTTCGATTTACCGAGTAGTGTTTCTTCAAACGCTCTCAAACCAATTCGCGGTTGTGATAAAACAAGCATTCAGTGTTTCTTTGACAACAGCAACAACGTGGGAATCACCTGGTTATGGACATTTCAATAAAAACTAGAATACTCTACCCCTTATCTGTTCTACTCACAATTATATATGATTTACATATATGTGTAGAATTTGGGCACTGTGATAGTAAGTAATTCTATATTAGTTTGTTTATTAGATGTATCACACAGTGAGTGAAACAGTATTATTTACTGGACGACAAGGTTTCGAACACAATCGATTATTGTTCATAATCATATCGTCAATTATAATCACACGACTTCGAAACTTGAGTTTCACAGTTTCCTTTATTCTCTCCTGTTTGTCGTCGTGGGAGTGGTAGCAGAATTTTCCAGATGTCCGGCTGGACAGGTGTTGAATCATTCCCAACACATGTGTTTGTGGTTGATTCGATAGAGAAACCTTCCGTTATCAATCTCTCCCTCCCTCCACGCTGTTACATTAGATTTTAAAACTGTCACCTTATCCCACCCATCCTATTGTGTGTAATTGCATGTAGTGAGTGCTACAGTTGAACTATTCCCTAGATTTCTTATCATATTCGGGTCAACTAATCTAGAATTTGCTGCAAGCTATTTATGCTCGGCTAGTCTGACTGGGTAGTACTGTATTAGATAAAGTGAATTGTTTTGTTTTAACGGCTCCACAGGATTGATCCCTTAGCCGACGAAGCTTGTTTGTGATTAAGTTTGTGGTTGGTTTAAATGACAGCCACTTTTATTCCTGTCTGCCTTGTTAAGAATTCTGCGTAAGGTTTCCGAGGTTCCTTCCTTACATGGAATTACTACTGATGATTTAGATTCCTTATTGTTGGTGTTGTCATTATCTTGCTCATGTTTGACATGCATGTCTTCACTAGTATTATTATTGTTACTATTATTATTAGGATCACTACTGTCACTATTTATTTTATTTTTACATTTCCCCACATACTTTTTGACTAATTTATCAGGGTAGTTATTAAGTTTCAAAGTTTCTCTTATATGCCTCACTTCCTGTCTTAGATTTCCCTTGGTACTACTTAGTTTTGTGCTCTATTACTTAAACATTTTACCAATTTTATTTTCACTGACACAGGCATGGCGGGATGATCGGAAGTTCAAATATCTGTTTGAACGTGTGTGGGTTTCTGTAAACACACTATTGTGTTTAACTTTCAATCTTCTTCCCTTTTTACGCTGTAATCTAACATTGGAAGCTCCCTGAGTTCCTGACTTTCCAATTCATAAAGGAATTGAATTGCCTCCACCTCTAAGTTAATGTGTTTTAAAAATCTATCTGTATCCTATGTTTTAAGTACAGTGAATCTGTCATCTACATACCTCCACCACACATTTGGGGTGGGAATGAACCTTTCAATCGCGTTGTTTTCCCAAGGAAGGAACCTCGAAAACCTTATGCAGAATTCTTAACAAGGCAGACAGGAATAAAAGTGGCTGGCATTCAAACAAACCACAAACTCAATTACAAACAAGCTTTGTCGGTTAAGGGATCAATCCTGTGAAGCCGTTAAAACAAAACAATTCACTTTATCTAATGCCCTACTACCCAAACGACGACAAATAAGGGAGGACAAAGAAAACTATAAAACTCAAGTTTCGAAGTCATGTGATTACAAATGATATGATTATGAACAATAATAAATTATGTTCGAAATCTTGTCGTCCAGTAAATAATACTGTTACACTTACTGTGTGATATATCTAATAAACAGACTAATATGGAATTATATATGATTTTAAAGCTAATACTAGATTGTAAATATATTTCACAGTGAGAACTTCTCATTTTCGTCAGTTTACCCATAAAAAACCTCTGTAACCACCATGTTGTAAACTAAATCGAATGTGGGATTTATGATTACTTCACTGTTGCATAATAAATAATACATTGTAGCGATTCGTGATTTTAACTTTAATTACTTATGTACTATTTTTGTATACATGATTACATGAGTACAGCTCAGTGAGAAAGGTATGTCTATTAAATGTTTAAATGTGTATATATGCATTCTATGTGGTTTTTGTTTCAAACAATGAACTTCTAATAGCTTGTTCTGTTTAACTTCATTGATTAGAGGCTATCCAGGAAAAGCAAGACAAGCTTTCACTACTCTCAAATCTGTGTGGAGGTCAACAGCACTCAGCATCAAAAATAACATCCGGATTTTCAATTCCAATGTGATGTCAGTGCTACTCACTATACGGATCACAGACTTGCACTGCACGTCATAAAGAGCATCTCAAACAAACTACAGACATTCAATACCAGCTAGTTGTCTTCGCTTAATACTACTCAAGATCAGATGGCCGGCGAGAAAAGATCAGCAACAGAGATCTCTGTCAATGAGCGAACCAACACAGCAGGAACCGATTGTGAAACGAATAGGCAAGAAGAAATGGAGATGGATTGGCTGGCCATACTCTGAGGAAACAAGTCATCAAGTGACATCACTAGACAAGCCATTGCTCGAGTGGAACTCGAAAGGGAAGCGGCGAGTTGGTCGTCAGTGCGAAGGTGGGGTGACTTGGAGGAGGTGATGTGAAGAGGAGATGAAAGTGTGTGAGCGGACTTGGAGCCAGGTGAAGACTCTAGCAGAGAACGGAACGGAATGGAGGCGCACGGCTGAAGCCCTATGTTCCTCTAGGAATTAAAGGAAATAATAATGATAGTATCCAGGAAAATCTTGTACTGGCTACTTCTAATTGACGTCAAAGGTCCAGTTAGCAGGCCTGGATTACTTTTCATCATAATTATTCCTTTAGTTTCCGAGTGGAACATTGGGCTTCAACAGCATATCTCCATTTTCACTTGTTCTATTCAGCGCTATTCGAGTGTCACCATGATTGTCTATAAGCTTTCATCTCCTCCATGTCACAGTCGGACTCTACCCAGACTCTTCGTATTCCTCCGGGTTCTATTCGAGAGCTAGTCTGGCATATTATGACACCCGAAGCTCTTCTCAGAGAGTGTTCGATCCCTCTTCATTTCTTTCGGCATGTTTGGTGACCAGTAGGTTGTTGATTGGTTTGTCCCCAGAGTTTCGTGTTAGTGACTCTTTCTGATCAGCCTTCTGATCTTCAGTATGGAGCGAGAGAAGGCAGTTGTTGATGAAATTGTGCAGCCTGCAGTTAGAAATGTTCATTGTGATGAGTGAGCCAAGTTACTGATACATATAGAAGAGACGACTTAACACTGGTGTTGAATGTCCGCATTTTGTTCTGTATGCTGTAGCGTGCAGCAGATATCCACACTGATATCATAGTTATGAGCGTCTGTCCCGGTCTTCATATGCAGACTGGTTTCAACATCCTTATCGGTGCTCTCCGTATGTGTGTGAAATAATCGTGCCTAGATAAGTGAAGGAAGATTATCTCTTGTGCTTAGGATCATTTTGTGAAGATAATTCGGTCTTTTGGGCAAAAACATGCAAAAACTAATCGATCAAAGATGGCGGTTGTGATTGGTAAACTGAATGGCGAATTACCTAAACTAGCCACATCTTCTTTTATTTATCAATTCAGCTGCTCTTGTGAAGTTTTTCATGGTCGGGAACACCTACCAGTGTGCGAATAAAGTCAGAACTAACAAACCATTTTATTTCAAGTGCTTCTAGGTACCCACTACTCTGAATAGAACAGACCAGTGCAACTCGCTTAAAAAACAATCGGGGCGCTCTGTGCGAAAACAATCAGTTAAAGACACTACTGTTAGTCTGGTCTACTGTGGAACTTGTATATTCATAAATTCTGTATTATCTTCCTTAATGTACCTATGGAATCGCCAATATTAGGTTTAATTGCAGAAGCGGTGATGCAAAGGCTCGAAAACATAATTCTATCAAAGATCAAACCCAAGATTTGGATACGCTACATAGACGACACATTTGTAATTATCAAAATAAACGAGTTAGATAAAGCTCACAACTTGATAAACAACGTCCTCAACAACATCAAATTCACAAGAGAAGAGGAATCAGATAACCAAATTCCATTTTTGGACGTCTTAGTCAACCGAACAACCACAGGGGAATTAGAAACTCAAGTCTATAGAAAATCAACTCACACCGACCAAATCCTGAATTACAACAGCAACAATCCAATAGCACACAAGAGGAATTGCATGCAAAAACTATTCAAGAGGGCCAGCCAGGACTCATTTCAGCACCCCCAACTTGAGGAGAATTGAAGAAAAATATCTCATGGACGTCTTCCAAAAGAATGCATATCCAAGGAATTTCATCAAAAGACATATTCCTCCAAGCCAACCTATCAAACCAAAAGCCCCCAAGGAGAGCACAAAGAAAATCACCTTACCATATATAAAGGCTATCTCAGAAATCACTACAAGACTCTTAAAACCTTTAGGAATTGACGTCGTACAAAAACCAACAAAGTCACTTCACTATATTCTTTGTCAACCAAAAGACTCAACAGCGAAAGAAGATAAAACCAACATCATCTACAAAATAAATTGTATCAACTGCGAAAAACACTACATTGGCCAAAGTGGACGTCCGCTTCGTCTTCGTATCCACGAACATAAGCTAGCTGTCAAAAGACATGACATCCACTCCCTCATATCACTACATACAGACAACCACGGGCATCAATTCGACTGGGACAGAGGAAACAACAAAAATGCTAGAGAATTTTTAGGAGCTTTGCATTCCAATGAATCATCAATCAATAGACACATCGTGATTGACAAAATATATCAACCGATAAGAAAGAAACGTCACACACAAAGGGTCAAAGTTCAAGTCAAAGAAACAATGGGTTCTAATACAAGTAACCTAGAAGGTGTGAAAACACACAAAAACAACCAATCACGTCCCAGGTGGCCAGGAGAGTCAATTTATAAACTCGTGGAGAAATCTAAAAGCTCACTTCAAATTGAAGTATGCGCTGAAAATGTCGCCTAGTAGGGCGATGAAAGCTTCGCAAATTAACTGTCCAGCTCAGAGAACACAACCACATCA